GTTCGGGGGCCAGTGTGATCCTCTCAGTCTTGGGAGGGTGGCCCCAAGATAAAATCTTGCACCAGGGCCCTTTGGTTATTAGGTCCACCACTGATTGTATATGAGTTCCTGTACTGCGCCATATGTTCAAAAGGTGAACAGCTAGATGGCTAAGTGCATATTTCTCATGGCTATGCAACAGAAGAGTCTTCTATAAGGCCCAGATCACACCTGTGCATTGAGTTGTATGCACACTGTGCTTTTACATGCATTTTAAACACATTACCATTGAACTCTTTGTAAGGCATGTCTTGATGGAAACCACATCAAAGATGCAGCAAGCAGGATTTTATTTAACACAACACACCCACAAGAGCAGATGTCAACAGAACCCAATCCCCTATATTGGCTAACATTTGATACAACAAAAGCTAAATATCAACAAGACCAGGTGTATATAGCTCATAGCTGTGCATCACTAGTAGCCCCAATAAATACTGTAAGCACATGTGGCTGCAATAGGGATGGGGATTTCAGTCTGATTAATTTTCTTGTCTGTATCTTGTTGCACCACCAATAACTGGGACGCCAAATAATGGTTACTGGAGTAGGGCCTTCTTGTATGAACCGCTTTGATGCAAGGAATGAGATCCCATCAACATACTAATATTAGGAGAAGAACATTTTGTATACTAAAAATAGTTTTAAAGCTTTAACGGGATATAACCCCAGTTGATGCAGTTTTGGGTTTATTAAAATAGGACTGGATGTATTTATATGCAACTAGTGAATATGACTTGGTATCAGCCTCTAATCTTCTATTTAGCAAAACTCAGATTGGGAGTGGGAGGGCAGAGAGGAAAATAGCTAATAAGGTGTGCTGAAGTGCACGTGAGCTGACAAGGAACATTCTGATAGGAGGAAAGAGTGAACAGGGGGATGACTTATCACTGTCCTGTCGCTGCTCCTTCGCTGTCCTATCAGGCTGGGAGGTGAAAAGACTGTATTGCTTAACTGCAGTAGAGAAAAATCAGGTTGCCAACCAAGTTTTGCTGTCTGGCAGGGCTGTATTGATCTCAGAACTGAATGGACAGAAATGCATCTTAATCTTTAGGCGTTTGTTTGGAGTTTAGTTTACAAAACCAGTGATCTTTGCATATTTTATTACAATTGCTACTGTGTTCGGAAATAGGATAGGACAATAAAAGACATGGCAAAATGACAAGATACAAAACAGTTTTGCATGGCCAAAATGTTGTGGTATCTACTATGCTGGTATGGGACAAGACCGTATTACATCCACTGTGCCCCACAGTAAAAAATAAAATCAGAATCACCTACTTTGATTATTTTTCAATTTGATACAAAAAAATAAATAATAAATGAAAATTGTGAAATAAGCTTATGAATTAAAACAAACTGCAACATTACCTTCAAAAAGCAGTTTATTATTAGATGAAAGTGTACATACCTTGTGGAATTCCACTGTTTTTCATTTGAGGTTCCACTACCTGAATTGTGTCATCTTCAAGATAGAAATAGATTTTACAGAGCCTGACGCGCAAGGTTTCGTCTCGTCTCTGATGAATATCTTCTTCAAAATAGGCTTTGAATGACAGAACCTGAAATGAACAGATGTTTATTACTCAAACAACATAAACTATGCAGAAACATGAACCATGATGTAAAATCTGTAATAATCCTTAGAACTCTGGGCAAAGTTTTGTATTAAAGAAATGGTGGGGGTAGCCCTACTGCAAGGGTTAACTGCTCATTTTCGTCTAGATACAAAAATAATAGTTATACTCACCCGGACATACTTATTCTCAGACTGGTCCTTCCAGCGTCTATCCACCTTTGGTGCAGAGGTCTATGGACCCTAGTGTCATCACGTTCTATACACTGTGTATAGACATGAGGATGCCAGGGTACATACCATCGCTGCAGCGAAGGAGGACAGAGGCTTGACACAGTCGGCCGGCTTAGCAGTTCAGGTGACCATAACTTTTTTACTTTTGTATCTAGACGAAAATGAGCAGTTCACTCTTTCAATGCAGGGGTAGCCCCACTGCAAGGGTTAATTTAAAAAAATGTCTGGATTTCTTCTTCTGGAGCATCAGACAAAACAAAAAAGTTTAGTCTGGTGCTCCACTTTAACCTCAGCAAGAAAATGCACTGATACTGCTGGAATCACTCACTCCAGCTTTATGTCCTCCTCATTTCAGCAATCCAAGAGGGGCAGTCAAACAAAGGGACAGTTGGGAACAGCTCCCCAACAGGACACACATAGCAATAAAAAAATGACAGATGTTCCAATCATTCCCCACTATATCTAAAACTAAAACAAGTTTATTTTAAAGTGTATTGAAAGCCACAACTTTTTTTGTGTAGAGTATGGAAAGGTTAAAACAGTCAGGTTTTTATTGCTCTCTGTTTACCCACTGAGGAGATTCAGCCTCTCTATTAGTCCTGGTCAACATTGTCACTGGGACACAGTGGGTAGTCCAGTGGGTGATGGGTAATCCAAAAACTTTTTACATCACAGGAACCAGAATAGAGAAATCTTTCAACGGGAACACCTGTTCTGGTGCTAACAGTCTTAGTGGGAGTTTCCACTTACCCGGTATATTGGGAACATTTTCTCTCACTTCCTGTTGTACGTTTGGGACAAGAACTGAAAGGAAATCTCTGCAGCAGGACGCACAAAAATAAAATATAACACAGGTTTTAATCAATCCATACTTTATTCTAATGTAGCCCCCATCACCTTCTGTGAGATGGCTACTAGAAAGTTAGTGATTGCCAGAACTGTAGTCAGTCTGACTAGATTATAGTTGGCATTTATCTGGTTAATTGCTGGTGTTCTGGCATTGATTGTACCTACCTGGGTGGAGTGTGTCTTTGCTGTAGAGTGGGACAACCAATGAGAGACACTGTGAGTGTGTGTGCAGTTCACCAGCCAATCACTGGGTCTCTCTCAACCAGTGTTGCATGCTGGGTAAATGCTTATATAGTCAAGGGAATTGTCGTGTGCTAAGTTCTAGCCGGGCGCCAGCCATGGATTAGTCCAGGTTGGGGTGTTGTCCAGCCACCCCCCAGGCTAGGCCTGAGGCCTGGCGGTGGGGATGCTGGAGTGCGGGAAGTGTTTAGCTAGGCCTCAAGTATGGAGGAGCCATGTGGTTGTCAGAGGAGGAGAACCAGAAAAGCTGATGGCTGCTGGAGGTCTCTGGAACATGGTGGACCTCAGGAGCAAGTCTGGTGTCTCTCCTGCTGAGGATCTGTGCTCATCCCTGCTCATCTGCTGCTCAATTTTCTATTCAACTGTGCTACCAATGGATCTACACTGGGATGCTAAAAAGGGGCTGGTGAGTCCAGAAGGTATGTCTGTACTACCCTTGATGTCTAGGATTCCTATACCCTCTCTCCCCAGAGTGAATATGTTCAATAAAAGTTATTTGGCATTGTACTCTGGAGTGGATATCAGCTTTGTGGGCACTAGAAGAGGGTGGTTAATGTTAATCGGGCAGCTGAAGACCAAATCCCCTAGACAGACTAGTGATGACCCAGGCTATTCTAGTGGCTCCTTCGGGGGTGAGCGCTACACTAAACTAAAAATAAAGGTTTGACTTTAGAAATACATTAAGCACCATTGCTGCTCCTTCCATACCTTATCCAGATCATCCTAAATCACTTACATGTCATTGTTTCAGCAAAATTAAAAACATGGGCATTTGAGAAATGCGTTATACAAAATAACAGACATGACAGAAAGAAAGAAACCGCAAACATCTATATAACTTTTATCACGCAACAGATATGTTCCATAAAAACAGATCAGTAATGAAATACAAATGAAACACAAACCTGTTTATCAAATGCAACCCAAGAAGGAGCGTCACTGCCTACTCCTCTAGGGAAGACACTGAATTTAGGCTTCAATTTCTGTCCAAGAAGTGCTTCTCCTCCAATACCTGGCTTCTCTTCACTCAACATAGAGATATCATTAGAGTAGCCAAAGTGCTGAGACTTATGGAACTTTTCTTTTCCTAGCTGAAAACACAAATTAAAATGAAAAATGAACATGATATATAATATAAAGTATACAGTATATATTTAATAAATACATATAGGGGACTGTGTATCTTAATAAGGTTCATAACATTACAATACAATTTGGGGATGGGCTGCGCAGAGAATATTTAATTGGCAGGATAGGGAAATTTGGACATAGCAGCAACCACAGGATGGCGGCGGCAGTAAGTGCACTAATTCTGAAAGCTAACGTATCCTTTATATTAATAAATTAAGCTCCAGTCAGCCACTGTCCCAGTGACAACATTAAAAATGTCCTTAATGGCCCCAAAGAGAGTAGAAAAAAATGGCAGTCTCTAACCCATCCCCACTCAATAGAAAAGCAAACAAAAAAAGTTTGGCTGGAGCTACACTAAGATAATCGGAATGGGAAAAAGGATTGAGAAGGATAGTAAATAAGCACGTTAGGTTCAATTAACTAAGATGGATCCATTGTTTTAACTCCACTTGTTATTTGATGTCATAATTTGCCCCTGCAATGTAGAGTTCAGAATCATAAATAATGCTTATGAGCATCATTCTTATTATTTCTGTATTGCACTTAAAGAGTAAAGCAGCTATCACTGCTGTTCCCAAAAAAAGGCAGGAAAAGGACTAGTCAGCCGCTAATCTTTTCCTTATTACAGACTCACCATGCTTTGCTCAGCACTGTGTCTTTGTGTGAAGTCAGCCATCTAAGAAGAGGTAAGGTTTGCTTCCTTGTGTAAGAGCCTCCAGCAAGGAGAACAGTGAACAGCACAGCAGTGACATCACCTAGTGTCACTCCAGAAAAGGTAGATTTTTCAAGGTACTGTCTAGGCACAATTAAAGTGGCACTAATCTCAGGAGTTAAACCTTAAAGATAAGGTTTAATAAAAACATTTACTGTATATACTCGAGTATAAGCCGACCTGAATATAAGCGAGGTACCTAATTTTACCACCAAGAACTGGGGAAAAATATTGACCCGAGTATAAGCCTAGGGTGGGAAATGAGGCAGCTACTGGTAAATGTACAATCTTACTTACCTCGCCGAGCGTCGCGTCACTGCTGCTCCGGTGGGCGGCGCTCCGAGCAGTGTCATCTGGCAGTCTCCGGCCACCTAAATTAGGACCCGGAGACTGCCAGATGACCCCGCTCGGAGCGCCGCCCACCGGAGCAGCAGTGACGCGACGCTCGGCGAGGTAAGTAAGAAGAAACCTGACCAGCGTACTCACTTTCCTCAGTGCACGAGACGCTGACTCGAGTATAAGTCGAGGGGGGCATTTTTCAGCACAAAAAATGGGCTGAAAAACTCGGCTTATACTCGAGTATATACGGTAAGTACCTTAAAAGGAGAACTATAAGGTGAGTGAAAATCGCTCAACCTCATAGTTCGAGCCGACATGTGACAATGAAACTGTCACACGTCGTCTCAATCGGGAAGTGAGCAAAACACATAACGTCGCTCGCTCACTTCTCGATCGTCTCCCTGTAGAGAGTCGTGACTGTCAGTCACGGCTCCCTGCAGGGATTCCCCCGATCCAATCCTCAAGCACTGACTGGAGTAACAGATGGGGGGCGGGTAGATAGGCAAAGCCAGCCGTCACTCATGCAGCTGGGTGTATCTCGACAGTAATGTTGGGATTTGTGGCGGCTGCGGCGTTCTCAGTATGCTGCAAGCTGTAGCTTGCGATATACTGAGCTTAGGGTCATGGGAGGACGCTAGTTTATGTCCTCCCGTGACCCTTAAGAGAACAATGGGGAAAAACACTTACCCCATAGTTCTCTTTTAACTATTAACAAAAATGTAACTTATTTGTGTATCACTCAGCTGTAGATCCTCAAATCATCTCTGAATTGGCGCTGACACTTTCCTTCCTTTTGGAGGAAGGCTACTTTTGTTCCCCATGGTCCCTTTGTGTGTTGTAAGTAGGCACCGCTCCAAGCTTGCTCCCGTGATGGACTATAATCTCAATATAAATTGGTAAACTAAACATGAGATTGTAGTTTTCCATGTAAATTTCCATAACATAGCAAATCTTCACTTTTTGAGTTCAGTTCCATTTTAAATGTTGAAGCCTTGGTTTTCTAATAAATCGTTATTTTATCTAACCGTGTTATTTCATCACTGCCTAAAATGGTTTCTTTTTTTATTATAAAAAAAAGCAAATAATACATGGGAATGAAAATACCCCAAGTGTCATGCTTCTGTGAATTAAACCTTATGTGGCAAATATAACCTGAACACGCAGCTTGTGAATAAAAGTATGCTAAATATATGCATGGGACATGTCTTCATGAGTCCAAATGGATGCCATAGAAACCTTTCTTTGCTAGCACAGGATATAACAGGGGTGATGCTAGGATCCTAAAAGACTTGGGGAACCCCCAGACTGAAATGTTGAGAGGGTTGTAGCATAGCAAAGAGTGGGTGAGGCTGCTTCCTGTCTCTCATATTCTCTGTCTCATAAAGTGACCCTGTCATTGCAATGCAATGGCACCCCAAGCACCTATATCGAGTGTGTCGAGTGTGTCGCAATGCATGCCAGTGCATTATAGTGAGCTGCCATGCATTGTGTTACAAAAAAGGGTTATGTATGATTTAAGCCAAATTAAGGTGCATTTCCAGCCCATTCATATCTAATGGGTTTCCTTAACACAATGCACGTTAATGCACGACATGCAAAGCCAAAAAGTAAATGGGCCCTTACTGCTGGGGAAAGGAAAGTTTTAGAAGACAATTAGCTGGGTCTCATCTCACAAAAATTGAGAACCACTGCCCCAAACTATGGTCTATGATAGGGTTAGGCAAAGTCCAGCCCTCCACCTGTGGTGCAGCTTCAAATCTCATGAAGCATTGCAAGACTCTGACAGACACAGACATGACTCCCAGAGGCAGATGCATCCAGTCCCAATCCTGTCCACCTGTCCCTTTGATGTGTTTATTGGACTAAAAATAGTTACATTAAAAACATGCAGCAGTCCTGGCAGTATGCAATTAATGAACAATGTGTGTAATGCTGATTTCATTTGCAATGTCACCTTCACAGTAGACTTTTTAATGTTATTTAATGTCATAGGTGTCAAAGATTTTGTTACATCCACCCACCAACCACTCTTTTGTTAGTACATTTTATACAATAAACGTAATCAATATGCACTTATGTTCAGATTGCTACATATAATATTAACAGGGATCTAATGAAAGTCAAGTAAAAATGTTTTGCCAAACACAGTGGCAGGAAAAATAGTTACATTTGTATCATTGCGCCAATTTAATTACAGTACATACTGTACATTTTACCCAGCTATAAAGGCCGTTTGAAATGTCAGCAATATAAAAATATAATATGCCAGAATATCCAAGTACAGTATTCTGAGAATGATGTAGAACTGTGTGATTGCTTCTCTACATACAGTATATTAACATTTCTGCTGATTTCACCTTAGCAACATATAGAATTTCAGTGAGCGTTCAATATAGAGTAGAATACATTATCCCTCTCCTCTTTTGAAGCTCACTGTATTCGCCTATTTTCTCCAGTTTCTCTGAGGATTGCTGTAATATACCGGCCTCCTGGACCAGTATCTCGCTTTCTTGAGGACTTCTCTGCCTGGCTACCCTACTTTCTCTCCTTAGAAATACCCACTATCCTTTTTGGTGACTTTAACATTGCTAATAACAATAACTCCCCGGCTTCCACTCAATTTCTTAACCTAACCTCTTCTTTTGATCTAAACAATGGACAAACGCTCCTACTTACTCAGATGGTAACATTCTAGATCTTGTTTTCTCTCACCTATGCGCTCCTTGCAACCTCTCCAATACCCCTTTCCCGCTCTCAGACCACAACCTTGTCAGTTTCACACTCACCCTGTCCCCAACCCTGAATCCCCCTACACGGCACACTGTCACCAAGAGAAACCTTCGCCACCTCGACCCTTCTCTTCTCCACTCTGCTACTGACTACCTCTATGACAAAATCTCACCCCTGTCCTGGCCAGAACTGGCTACTTCTGTCTTCAACAGCTCGCTCTCATCCTCCCTAGACACTTTGGCTCCGCTCACTACACGCAGACTTAGACCAGTCACCTTCCCCTATTCATGTACCAGGCTCACCATCACACTTCTTAATTTCCTCTTTTGACCCTGTCACCACAGAGGAGGTTACAAAGCATCTCTCCAACACCCCTTTTGCTTGTTTGCAATTTAGGAAAGGTGTTCCCAAACACACCTACCATAGGCTCCTTGTTGTCTCTACAAGCCAGTACTAAGTACCCATTCACACCTAGGCGACAAAATGCTCAAGACAAGGAATCCCATTCATTCCTACAGTAATTGAAGTTGTGCACTTCCCATCAACTGGCAGATTTTCGGACGAAAAGCTGACCTGAAGCGCGGCCAGTCCGAGGTGACCGGAAGCTTGCCCGAGCCGAGCTGGCCGGAAGCTTGGCCGAGCCGAGCTGGCCGGAAGCTTGGTCGACCCGAGCTGACCAGAAGAACGACCGGTCCAACTTGACTTGACCGACTTGCCCGCCGGTTGAACAAAGAAAATATAACCACGTGTACCCAGGTTTAATTCCCTATCTCACATACATACACACATACTAGGGCCAATTTAGACAGGAGCCAATTAGCCTACCAGCATGTCTTTGGAGTGTGGCAGGAAGCCAGACTACCCGCATATTACACAAGTAAAGAACATACAAACTCCATGCTGATAGTGTGCTGGTTGGTATTTGATCACAGTCTCAAGGCAGGGTAGATGAGCACTAAAGTATAGTTGCTGTATTTCCAGCTCCAGGTCTTTCATGCTAATCCTGGCTTCACTATCTAGTGATCCAGTGGCCTGGTACAAGAGTTCAGACTTTTCAGGCTTTACTTTGTGCTTGTTACAGGTCAGTGAAGTACTAGGCATAGAAGCCAGAATGGAGAGAATAGGAAATCAATTTGGACATACATGTAAATTCACTTTACTCTGACTGTACATAAATAATAGGATTTTGTTCTTACAGTAAAGTACATTGTGGGACACAACTCTGAAGAATTCTGAGACGTAGAGGCAGAAGCATAATCTTACATCTCAGAACGTCACAATGGATGATAGACAAATAAAGTTTAGGGGGAACAAAAAAACTTTCAAAAATAAAAGAGAAAAAAACAGTAATATATTAAAAAAATAAAAGTTCGGGGGAAAAAACAGTAAAATATACACAAATAAAAGTTTTGGGGAAAAACAGTATTATATTTAAAAAAATAAAGGAAAAAAGTACTAATTTAGGGTAACGTTATACAGCAGTTTTCTGGAGAAAAAAAAACAGTCATTTATCTCTACTGAGAAAAGATGCAACAAAATGAAATGATTGTTTATAAAGAGCGTGCATATGTAAGGAAGAAAATAATTAAAGGATACGTACGTTTCTATTAAATGAGTTTCCTGGCAGGAGAGGTAGAGCCATGTTGATTGTCCCTGGCTATTATACACACTGAACACTCTGAGTGATGAACCATGGAGACGGCTTTGTTTACTGGCTGTTACTTAGTAACTCTTCGGCTGACAGGGAAATCTTTTTTTTTTTCCATTGCAGCTTTATTTAAAAGGAACAGTATCTTATTCAAGTCTAACCAATGGTTGTGCAGGCTTTTGTCTGACTTTTAAATGACAAACATACTAGGAACAACTTAAGAGCATATTGGGCAGTCTAGAATTTAGATTGTTTGGTATTAATCCTAAAGTGACGCTATACTCATGAGTTCAATCTTAAAAATGCATTCAAGTTCCTTAACTATCAACAGAAATGTAACTTATTTGTGTATCACTCAGCTGTAGATCCTCAAATCATCTCTGAATTGGTGCTGACACTGTCCTTCCTTCTGGAGGGTGGCTACTTTTGTTCTTCAAAGTCCCTGTGTGCGCTGTAAAGTAGTCACCTCCCCAAGCTCGCATCCATGATGGACTACAATCTCAATACAAATTAGTGAACTGAATATGAGACTGTAGTCCATCACAGGAGTGAGATTGGAGCAGTGACTACTTTACAACACACACATTGACTATGGGGAACAAAAGTACCGTATTTTTCGCTCCATAAGACGCACCTTTTGTCCCCCAAAATGCAGGCAAAAATGTCTGTGCGTCTTATGGAGCGAATGTGTGAGAGCTGAGGGAATCCCTATCGCCCGACGCCGGGGACATGCAGTTTCAGGCGCTGGGAGAGTAGTTTTTTTGCACATTTAGCCCAGCTCCTGACAAGCAGAGCTAAATGTATAGTGTGGAGCCGCCGCTCGTTTTCATACAAGTGATCTGATTACATCACTTGTATGAAAGGAGCAGCGGCGATCCTGTTCCAATCCCCCCTGCACGGTGTTCGGGGTCCCCTGCTCCTCTGCGGCATGGGAGCTCACCATAGAGCCCGTAGAGCAGACGAAGAACGTCCGTTCTTCGTCTGCTCTGTGTAATCACTGAGACCGCGACGCTGTAATCACAGCGCCACCTGTCACTAACTACACAGAACCCTACCCTCCCTTTGTCCTATTGTCAGGTACGCCTTATGGAGCGCAAAATACGGTAGCCACCCTCCAGAAGGAAGGACAGTATTAGCCTGAATTCAGAGATGATTTGAGGATCTACAGCCGAGTGATGCACAAATAAGATATATTTTTAATTATACTTAAGGTACTTGAATGTATTTGTAAGATTTAACTCCCTGAGTTTAGTGTCACTGTAAAAGAGACCTTGCATGACAATCCAAGGTCAGCCTATCTTGAACCCCCGTGTAGCGATATAGAGTTAAATAAAATAATAATTAATCAGGCGTAAAATGAAAAATATACCTACCTTACATGCCAGCTTCTAGCTGCTGTCTAGTTGAGGCTGATGTCACTCATCTTGGGCTCTATAGAAGGACTAGGCTGGGGGCCGGGGAGCATATGCCTTCTGAGTACTAGTACCATGTGTTGGGCTGGTGGTCCTAAGTGGTGATACTTTACGATTCAGGCAATAATTAGAGAGGAAACAGCCAGCGACAAACTTCAGGCATTTTATAGCTGCTGCCTGCCCGGTGTTCAGACCTGTGAATCCAGCATCTAGCAAGAGATAAGCCTTCCATCACCAACTTAAGCTGGCCATACACCTAGAGGTTTATTATTGTTCAGCCTATGGACAGATGGAAAAAGAGATTCCTCCATCTACGCTAAACTGTGTGGATGGAGGAATCCCCCCGCGAGGCCAAGCTTCAGTATTTTTATAGTCAGCCCCGCTGGCTGTCAAAATACCTGAACAATGCTTGCATCTTATTGGATGCAGGCATTGTGCAGCTGACAATTTTCCACCCAGCACCTTCAATTTTTCAGTCAAAGGATGTCGGTCGGGAGGCAGCAGACAGGACCACCCACTGAGCTCATTTTGCCCGGTTCATCAAGAACTGACCGAAATTTTCTAAGTGTATAGGAAGCTTTTCTTTTTGACTTTGAGGTGTCCTGTGAACAAATGCCAAGAGCTGCAGAGGAAGCTGATTTTGCAACATGTGAAGGTTTGTCCATTGTACTGACAGCTGTGTCCAGGGATTGGTAGCATGCACTGTTCAGCCAACAATTTCACAGCACGTCCCTTTGACAAAAGTAGATGTAATTATTAAATTTTTCACAAGGAAATAGTGCCATCACTGATTGAGTTTCGGCTGGTTCGTCCTAAATCCACTGAAATTCAGTCTGCGTGTACCCAGCTTTAAGAATGCCCACCTTTCACCATGCCCAACAATCAATGTGTGGTAAACTTTCTGTAGCCTTCAAAAATATTTTCCTACCATGAAAGGGCGAGATTCATGTATTTGCCTCCAGGCCAAAGGTTCCCAGTTCCTCCTAGCTGAAATCCAGGAAAAGCTCATAATCTCACACGAAGATACTCTTGCACAGTGATAAGAGTGCATTCTCATGAGACTGGGGATCGTCAGCTCTCCCAGGATCTCACTGAAGTAATGTTGCAACAGTAAGAAGCTAGTGTGTCAGGTAAGTATATTTTATATAATTTTCTTTTTTTCTCCTAATGTTTGATTTTTTGTTATTTACTGTTTTTACATTAGGATGAGAGGATTGCAAGATAAGCGGAACTTGCATTTTCACAGAAGCTTTTATAGCAGTCAGTATGATTTATTTAAACCAAGTCAGGAACTCAGCGGGCGCTTTATTTTCCTGCAAGTGTAAGCCACAGGATGACTCCTGCATCACTTTATTTTAGTTTAGGCTAGCAATATGCCTTTTTGCTTGCGCCTGTCAAATTACATACATATACATTATATATATTATATACATACATATATAAATAACTTTTGTACATGAGAAAGCGGACATTCTGGAGTGGGCATAACATGTGGTGTGTGTTCGCAGCACAAAAAGGCAAAAAATGGGTACGGTAAAACCGTACTCGATATGCACATGGCTTAAAGAGGCATGGTTAGTGGCTGAGTCTGCACACAAAATGTAAATGTACTATAGTAAGATAAGGTCTTGTGAGTCATGGAAGAATGGAAGCATGGAGGATATGAAAGCTTCAGTCGAGCCACATTCTCTGGCTTGCATCCATAGTGAAGATTTTCCAGCATAGGATATATCCCAAGAAACCATGGGTGGCCAAGTCACCACAGTAGGTCCAGCTTGTCTAAGCAACCAAAGCTGGTGGATATTCTGAAAGCACTTTTGGCTAAAGGTGGGAACAGACCTTCTTGTCATTCTTTCAGATGCAATACTGGAGCCTAGTGCCAGGATAATTTAAATCCAATATGCATGTGCATGAGTTGCATAATCACCAAACCAAGAGACCACCATGAATGAAAGAATCATCTGAGTAGATGGGAGCAATGCCAAACATTGTGAAGTTGTCATCGCTGGAGGAGGACAAACTCAAGATTGTCATAATGTGTATTTATACTTGCACATAATGGCAAATGCCCCCACAGCCCCATTACCCTAGGAGCATAACCTGTTATCCACATATTAAGACAAAGGCAGAAACAATAGACTGACCAGGTAAGCATTGCATGTTTTTGTGCATTCTGGAATGACTGAGCTATACTATTTTTCATGAGCTGTTAGGGCATAATTTTTCAGCTGGACATTTCAAATCTCCGATGCTGGCGACGTACACTGTACGTCGTCAGTCACGAAGGGGTTAATGCATTTACTAACATCAAAACAGCTCCTCCAGCTGCTTCTTAAAGTGGACCTTTACCCCGTTTGACTAAAAATCATATCAGCATAGAGCTCTGCATGCTGATATGAAAGCATCTTACATTCATTAGCTAAACAAACATATTGATTTTACTTACAACTATTGCTTTTCCACTTTGGCACAAATTATGTAATCGTGCCCAAGCGCTGCATCCTGGGAAGATTACACCAGCAGAGCATTGCTGGGAAATCTCATATGTAGGCTCACAAGATCTCAGGGAAAGGCATTTTTCTTCCATGAAATTATGTGAATGGTCACATGTCCTAGTCACATGTGCCAGAGTTCCAGGAAGTAAAAGTGGATCTAGTAACCCGCCCTTAGTTAAAATGGCCATTGTGAGAAGACTGGGGAAGAAAAGAAAAATAAGGTATGCAAAAAAATGAAATGCCGGCAATTATCTAGAAGTATGTGTTTGTAGATTGTCATTACTAGAGAATCAAGATTACTAAAAGGTGCCTGTGTTGTTATTTTGAAGATATGGGTAAAAGTTCCTCCAAGTTTTCCTCCTTGATTTTCTTTTTCCATCCAGATCCTCCTCTCGGTTTTGCTAGCTACCAAGTTATAAGAGAAGCCAGAGAATTTGTCTGTATGAATTTCAGAATCCCCTCAGGATATAGCTTCCTGGTTTGTCAACTTATTTTGAACCCACATCAAAATAGATTGGAGTACCAGATTTAATGAATGGAATTGTTTTCCAAAAGGATCAGATTCTATCATCTACAGTACCTGGTTTAGGCCAATGGTGGTCAACCTGAATAGAGGGATTCAATGGCTGTCCCCGACACTTCCAAAGGGCCACACAATAATCTAAATGATTGGGCTGTACCTACGTGCCTGAAAATGTTGGTTGTGCTATAGTTGTGCAAAAACCCCCTCCATTGGTGGCCAGTGACATTGTTTTTTTTAATCACCCCATCCCACATTGGTGGTCATTGCAGTCCCGTTTTTTTGTGTTAACAATCCCCCCCTAAATCCTCATCCGAATTGATGAATTGTGGGGGGTCAGTGGCAGTGCCGTTAACTCCCCCAACACTGGGGCTCAGTAAATGTATAATTGACCCCCCCACATAATAATAATAATTCCTACACAAAAGTAACATAACTTTTTTATTTTTGCAACTTCTATTGAATCTACTGGTGTAGAATTAGCTATTGCACAAAGTGATTGTATTTCTTTGTAAGGGTAACATTCACTGATGGGCCTTTGATTGCCAATTACAGTACATTGTTTTGGCACTAGTCAGAAAAAATACACACCATTAAATAAATATAAAAAGTATGTGCATGAGTTAACACGAACATCTGTAGACCTATTGTGATGACAGCCATGATAAAACCACGAAACAAGAAATAAGTCCACAAATCTGATTTTGTTCTTAACTAATAAGTAGATGAACAGCAATACATGTAATAATGTTCTTGTTTAAAGTAGACAGTTCAGTCAGTCTTTAGATGATGGGGCAGACTATACTGTGAGATCTTTGCAAGCACTCCCTATAGATAAGCGTTTTTTTAAGGAAACCCGCTCTAAAGAAAAACAAAACAAGGCATCTTTGTTAGCAGACAGGTATTTCCCATCATCTTGATTTTTACTTTCACTCAAATTCCAGTCCTGTGAGAATTCTCAGCTTCTGCTTCACCTTCGGTTCTTAAGAGGCAAGACCCAGTAAGAAACCACCAATGAATCCACCAGATACGACAACGTTCTGCTTAATAAAATCTGTTGACTGCAAGACAAAAAGATTGGTCAAAATGTATGTGGTCTGTCTGACCAGCACCCCTGCCGAGCTTTCAGTTCAATCAACCTAAATTACACAAACATTATATACATGCATACCACAGGATTTTCCTTCAAATATAAATATCAGAATGCACAATTATCAAGCAGCATCAAGTAATTGTCAGCAGTGAAAGTCTGAAGTGAGCCTTCTCTGCAAACAAGTTGTATATCTTTACCTGGAATGTATGGTTACCATCAAATAGATTACAGAACAACTATCACGAGAGAAACATGGAGCCCACTGTTGTTCACCTCTACTTCCAAAATACTACTGGTCAGGCTCTGAGGCACTGACCAGAGTATGCCGATAAAGAGTTTGTCTTTTCCTTAACGTCTCCAAATTTCCTGACCAGCAAATTTGCCCGGTGTCAGTAGCTCAGAAAGTACCGAAGTCAGAAGGTTAAAATAACTACCACACAACTAGCAATTTCCAAGGAGGCCAGCAGCAAGAGCCCCAATATTTCTCTCATGACAGGTAAAATGTATGCCATATCACGGATATCTCATTAACTGCAGAGTCCCCGTGGTTTTTAGGAGTCATTTTGCTTATTAGTTTTTTTTCCAAGAACAAACAGACTGTATTATTAACAAAATACATATCCATAAAAATGCCAAGAATACATTCCGTCCTTTGCAAAGCAGATAAATATTTCAGGATTGAATTCATAGGAACACATACATATCCATGTAGAGTTTGAATCATGCAATACATTTGAAACAGCAGACTGATAAAAGCTGATTTTTTTTAATACTAATAATGGAGAGAAAAAAAAAATTCTCTCCCTAATTTAAAAAAAAAAACCACATTAAAAGAGGTGTGTCTTCGCCGCGCGCTCCCGTCCGAAAAGCTGAGAAATCTCGTGCGAACTTCCGGGTGGAGGATACTGATGGCAGAGGAGCCACAGGCTCCTCTGCCATCAAAGAGGGAAAGGGCGTGGCCTGCCACAGGGCTGTGTGTGTCTATGGACGCACACAGCCACTGCGGAAACGAGCAGGCACGAGTGCCTCCATTAGAACGATGGTGGCACCCCTGCAGGGGGCGGGGGGGAAGAGCGCTGCGGGGACCCACAAGAAAACGAGGAATGAAAAAATGTTTACGAAAAAAAAAGCAACAGCCTCCAGCAAAGGAGGGTCTCCTTAAAGGAGAAATAAAAAAAAAGCAAATTAGGCTTTAATATCACTTTAAGTAACACACCTATATCTACTTTGTTCAATTACCTTTATTTTAAAGTGCAAGTAAACCCAAAATCTATTTTATAGTATGTTTGGCACAATAGTTTCTTACTTGGGAGATCCTGCTAGTAACAGCTCTTCCTAATGTAGGCTGACAATGCTAACCACTGCCTGCTAATTAGCAGCAGCATTGAAGGCAACCTGCCAAGCGCACTGCTTCAGTTGGCCATTGAGCTGCCTGTCTAATATATGTAGTAAGTAGCCTAATGAGCAAAAGAAGAAACTAGAGCAGCAAACTGACAATAGCCTACAACAGGAAGTGTTGTTACTGGCAGTTTCTCCAGGTAAGAAACTTTGCAATAGATTCACAAAAAATGGTTTGTATACAGTAGGACATGATGCCAAATATACTGAAAAGAAGATTTAGGGTTTACATATATTTTACCTGAAGAAGGATAAAAGCCAGTTTGTATTTTTCTGTGGCTATGTTTTTTTTTTCTTTGAGGAAAAAGCATAACTAAGCCAAATGTGCTTTAAAACAGAACATAGAAACTCCGTAAACATCTTCTTACCTCTTCGATTAAATTGTTGAGGTTTGGCACAGTTTTATTTGCCTGTTTCTTTATCTTCCTCTTAGCCTTGTTAACATCCGTCTCCACCCTTTTCCAGTCTATCTGTATATAACCCCCATGGCTGGCAATCTAGAAGAACAAAAGTATTTACAGAGTGTCAGTATCAATAAATACAAAATGTGATTCAGTTACTAAACCACTAAGGGCCCTGTTCACACCACAAAGCGGTCGGGCTCTGGAACGCACCGAATAGCATTCTGGCCGGCTCCCTGCGTTAAAAAAAAAATGCTGCATTTTCTGTAAATAATGCTGCATTTTTTACAGATCGCACTGGACCAGAATGCAGGCACTAATGTGCCACGCGTTCGGGTGATCGCACTGCGGGCACGGCTGCGGTGCCACTAATGCACCGCCATGCCCCCCCCCCCCCCCCACCCCACAAGACAATGAGAAGAGCCAC